CACCTTGTGATGCGCCTCCGATAATAGTTGATGGATTTGCTTTTGTCAGCGGCGGACACGAAAGTCAGAAGCTGGAGCTGAAAGGCCGCAGCTAACCTTGAGCCTTGCAACAGGTAAGCGCTGATTGGCTGGAGGTTCGAGGTTCGGTTTTCATGTGAATAATTACCGATTCATAATTGAACTGGGGCGGGCTAGAATAATTCTAGAGGGTTTCTGTCATAACTTTACTCTAAGCTCGTCACTCCATCTCGCTTGAGTACCAAGTTCTATTTTTATTGTACCACCCACTGGTGAATATACTTGACTTTACTGCTTTTCATGCCGATTCATTATGGCATGAAACCAGAGAGTACGGTAATAATACGGCTCAAAGCCTTCGGCTGTTGCTTCTTGTGGCGTCAACGTTGGTCATGCCACAAGCAGTATCCGTAGACAGCTCAGTGATCGACGGAGAAAAGCTGGCACCCGTGGACTTTGCAGGGGACAGGGGATTTGGAACAGGTCGAGATGAGTAGCGAGGAGCAAGGGGCATTCCATGATCTGTGAATTCAGTTGGCATAAAATGTAATAAGCGGTGGATGTTTATTTATTAATGACCCATCGAATGGAGAAAGGGGAATTGACGGTTCTAAATATTGCAATACTTTTAATTATAGGCGAGTTTCACTGGGGGTTCTGTCGATGTAAGAGGGACGCACACGCTTGTAAATAAACAATTGTGCATCTTATCATATCCATCTGATCTAGACCGCCAGGTTGGGAGGTATGTTTCGTGATGGCAGCAACCAGTCAGATTGCTCAATTACAAGACATATGAAACTCAAGTCTCTAGCATGACATGTCCATTTATATGTCATGGAAAAGTAAACATGAGCATGATCACTCACTCCAGTGACTGGAGCAGGGATCGCCGCATCCTGGCCATGTCCTTCGCCTTGCGTTGTCTTGAATGAATGACCACGATCCGTTCATCCCGCTAGTTTCTGGTCGGTGTTGTCTGTAATTATTATCCCTAGCATTTCTCGTCTATTTTCGTGATTGTGCTTCTCTCTTCTCGGCTGTCTCCCTTTCACCTCTCTCTCTTTTCTCCTAATATCATCCGTGACGACCTTGTTTTTTCTGCTCCCTTCCTTATGTCGTGACCCAAGAGGCGGTGATTGCTATCTCGTCTATACCCGCCGTGAACAACTCAATTGGATACTCCTTGTCTCCTGCAGAAAATAAAGACATCCCCCGCTTCGAACCGTCAAGCCACTTCATCTATCCAACACTCGACCCCACCGCCTCTTGTCTCTCATCATTGAAACTGTTTGTTTACTTTTGGATGTGGTCACCTCGACATTGAGATTGGACCCCAAATTAGCCAGAAACCACTAGCGTTTTAGTGATCACCGCGCTGGAGCATTGGCATTACAGGGCGTCGCCCACTGAAGTCCCTTTAACCTTTCCTGTTACCTCCTCTACACACAGCCAATGAGAGCTCACCGCTCCGTCCCCCTACCACTCATCTCAGCCTGAGCCAGCAAGTAGAGGCTGTTCCGACAACCCAACTCGTGGACAGAATGCGCACTCTAAACACCATCAACTCGTCATCTTCTCGTCCTACATCTCCTGGCCTTTCAGTCTCTCAGCCTCATATTCGCCGCTCCGCTTCCTCCGCCGGAACCAACAGATTAGTCACCTCTTCTAAACCTCTCCCAAAGACCCGATCCAAGACCCCTACTCCAGGTCAGGCACAAGTCCAGGCTAAGGCTCAGGCTCGTCCCCGATTCTCCTCTGGCGGCACCACTGTATCCTCGAGCGCTCGCACGACGCCATCCCTTGGCTTTCACGACCCAAAACAACAACATGTTCTTTCAGTAACCGCTACAATTCCCTCGACCCGTTCTACCTCGTCGAGTTCCGCTCCTCCTACCTTAAAAATGGCCCCAAGCGACACAAGACACAGGCCCCCGCAGCTCAGTGCTGCCGCTGCAAAAACAGTCGGACGAACGCCTCTGACGCCCAAGATTGCCTCGACAGCAAAAGGTCCTTTATTAGGCGCACCTCCTTTAGTTCGACGATCAACTCAAGGATTGAGCTCAGGCACGTCTGGGCGCGATGATGCTGTGACTCCCCGTTCTGGCAGTCGACAAGGCCGCAACAATAGCAATAGCTCGACGCCCAATGGGACACCAAACTTAGATCGAGATGGATGGGATCCTCGAGCCTCCTTAGGCTCCTCTGGAAGGCAATCACTGTCACGAGCTGAGTCTCCAGCAGACCCGGACGCCAAATTCTTTCGTGCCAGCGACGCTCCGACTTCAACACAAGCAGCTGGTCGTCCCTCGTTAGGCTCACAAAAGCCTGCATCCTACTTCCATGCCAGTAAAGCCAATGCTGAATATAAAAAACCAATCAGCCCTCCCGTCTCTGCACCATTTACGCCGACACTCGGTACCGCACCCGAACCTTCATCCTCAAAGTTCTTTTATGCCAATGGCGCGGATCTCGAGCTTAAGCCCTCTTCAGCGAATTCATCCACAACAAGACTCCAGTCTAAACGTCCAAGCACCAGCAGTTCAACAAATGAACAATCAAATCACGCACTACCGCCAAGGCCACATTCTCCTATCAAGATTGCTCAACCTACACCTTCTATACTTAAAAACACTGGCGCCCCTGGTCTTGGGAACAGACCGCAAGTAGCGTCACCGCCTCAGATAGCTTCTCCACTAGCCCCCCCAGCGTCTATCACTTCTTCCAAGAGACGAGTTAGCATCGATGCAGCGCCGAAAAAGCAGAGAGGCCATGCAAGAGCTGGTAGTGTTCCCAATTTTGATCACTCTCACTCACCTAGGTTGCCCATGTCACCGGCTCGACGACCTTTTGAATATGGCTCACCCCCTTCGAGCCCTGGCTCAGCTCAGCCAGCTTTGACAATGGCTTCGATTCTTCAAGTTGCCGAAGATCTCGACGATGAGGAGGAGGAAGAGGAAGAAGGAGAAGCAAAAAAAGAAGACGGGTCCCAGCCCGACTTGCAGAGTCCTACAAAGTCCAGCCACGAGCCTGTGAACGAACTGGTCGCCAATGCCCGAAGAGAACGAAAGGTGCAGGATCTGGAAATTACCAACGCCTCACTTGAAGCTATTAATCGAACCCTGGAAAGGCAATTACGGAAACAGCAGGCTGAGATACGCAGGTATCGACGACTTTCAAGATCTGGTCGTCTCTCTGCTGTTGCTTCAGCAGCTTCCAGCCGAGTGACCTCTGCGGCACTCACAGATGCACCAATTAGTCTTTCAGATCTTAGCGAAGAGGACAACTCGGCAGCTCCCTCAGACGAGGAACACGACTCACTTGACGAATCAGATTTGTCAATGACTGACTCAGTCTCGGCTTCTGACCCTCTTGATCCCACAGACGAGAAAGCGATCGAAAAGGCCATGTCCCGACGGAAGCGAGATGAAGATCGTTTGCAGCTCGATTTGACCAAGCACCGGGAGTTGCTGGTCGATAGTCAGAAGATCAACCAAAGTATCAAACGATGCCTGAACTGGACTGAGGTTCTTATCAAGGAGGGCCAAAAGGCACTCGAGTATAAGGTCCGTGTCACCGACGTTGAATTTGGCGGCCATATACTTGCTCCTGCGGTCGGGGACGAAGACGAAGATGACGACGATGCGTTGGCTAGCGTTGGCGATCTCGAAACTGATCCTGGAAGTGCAGCACTCGAGGCTCCTCCGCCTTGGGAGAAGGGCTCCCAGGATCGTGATAGTGGCATCGAATTGCAACCAGACAGCAACTAATCTCGGCCATCGCAAGATGACACATTTTTTCACTACTCGACACATCTCAAAGGCGACCTGGACGTCGTACTACATACAACTCACCATACCAAAATTTTGTTCTCCTTCTTTTCGCCTTTACACACCAGGTAAGCCTCAGGGCATCACAACAAAATATCATCATCAGATCTACGAAGTCAATGGAAATAACATGCATGCATACAAGGCGTTGGGCAAGCAAGCGATCATCTTTACGTCCCTTTTGTTTCTGTTCAACAGCGTTTTGCTTCCCAGCGACTACGATGCACCATCGATTCCACCTCTCAAACGATCCTCTCTCTCCTAAAAGGAGCACCACCACAAATACTCAACCTGGACAATCGTTACATATACATACGCCCTTCGGAGATTTGGGCCTTTTTGGGTTTCATTTGTCGCCAAGATTTGCGCTTTTTTTGTCGTTTGCTTTTGGATGCATACTATGTATAACAGATACCCCGAAGGAAGTTTCCAGGCCAACCTGGCGAGTCAATAAGATGGAATCATTGGAGGAAATTGCAGAAAAGAGAACCTAACCCGGGAAATGGCTACTCAAGCTTCCCGCGGCACGGTTACCTCAAGTTCCAAGAACGCGATAGGGAAAATTAGATAGTTACCAGAAATAGGAAATGGATATAGGATGTCGGGAGATGAAACTCCAATCTTCAACTCAACCACATCGCCTCGCCACTGTAACCTGTGCGTACACACTCCGATAGCGACGTATCTAGAGGTGGAAAGGAAACTCAGGAGCTCGACCCTAAATGATAACAAGACTTAGGTAACTTTACATAAATTTAGGATATCTTCACCTAAGTTTAGGATGTATTAATAAGTTAGTACAGAGTATAAATTGAGACTAAATTTAGTAGAAATTTAGGATACCTTTTGCTAAGTCTATTTTGATATTAAGGTCTGGTGTTTTCTGACTTCTTGGGGCGTATTTATAGGTAGCAGACAAACGGCTATCAAATTTAAAAAAGGGGGAATAATGTCATGAAAATTATTTCTAAATCAATGCCAGTCATCCGCGATCTATACCATCCACCAGTTCATCATGCAAGCCACCAAGCCAAGTCCATCAAGTTGATGCCGCCCTCATTTTCAGGGTCTCAAACAAGCAGGTCTTCTTCAACCTTTCTGTATAGTCTTTTCTCTACCGTCTGCCGACTCCCCAGGACACATCGCCCTTGCTCAGGGTGTCGTAGCGTGCTCCTTGTCTTTGGGTTCCTTGTCCTTGCTGTGGAAGGACTTGCGATCCTTCTTCTTCTTGTGGTCTTCCTCCTTGTCCTTCTTCATTGCGGCCTCAGCAACGAGCTGCTCGAAAACGAGATAGTCGCCCTCCTCTTCAGGAGATCGCTCAGCCTAGTTAAGGTTAGTGTGATTCCGACAAAACAGCACTTGAAACATACCCGGATGAAGACGTCACCAATCAGAACAAGAGCCTGTGCGCGCTCGAGTCGCTTGTTGAGGTGGACCTTCTTGTCGTTCAAAATACTGTCGCAGACCTCACGCAGAACGCTCTGGATCTCAAACTTGCTTCCCCTCCATGCAGCGGTGAGAATCTTGCCAGTCACGCGTCTCTCGTACTCAGCGCGCTTCTCATCAGTCCAGTCCTCGCCACCCTTCTCCTCCATCTTGGCCATATCCTCCATGGTCTGTTGAGCATCAATAGCGCTGCTGATGGTGTTCCATGTCTCCTTGACGAGTGTGCCCTTGTCACGGAGTCTGCTGAAGAAACCACCGATACCAAAGAACTTCTGGCTGCGGAGTAAGCTCGAGGCCTTCGAGACATAGGTTTGACCGATAGCGTGCAGGATATCAATTCCGAAAGACTCCATCTTTAGGTTCTCAACCTCGAGACGCATCTTCTCCTGGAATGCCTTGGTTACGTCAGAACCCTTGTCTGTCTCTGTCCACACGCTCAGTCTATCAAGGAGCTTCCGAGCGAGGGTGTCGACACGCTCCTGGCGAATCTTGGCGCGCTCCTTCTCGTATGCTGCCAACTGCTCACGCTGCTCCTTGGTCAGGCCACCCTTCTTCTTCTCCTTATGCTTGAGCTCCTCCTCTGTTAATTCACCCTTGTTGGCCTCGGCATCAAGAAGGTCCTCGTGAGACTTGTCCATCAGTGCGGGTCGAAGAGGGATCTGGGTTCGGCTACGTGAGCTCGACGAGGGAGCGGGGGATGTGGCATCGGTTCGCTGAGGGGTATCGGCGGAGAGGCCAGCGGCGGGAGCGGCAGGTGAAGCGGGCTTGGTCTCCTTGTCGTCGTTGACAGAAGCGGCTGCATAAGGCGGCGGTGGTGGGCCTACTTGGTGCTCTGCAGCGGCGGCGGCCTTCTGCTTAGCCTTCTGCTCTTGCTCCTTGAGGCTCTCCTTCTTGGCATCTTCAGTTCCAGGGAAATCCTCCTCGGCTTGCGCGGCGGCAGCGGCTTCAGCAGCGGCAGCTTCTTCCTCCTCCTGCATCGTGATGTCCATGGTTGCCGTAAGATCCTTCATAAGGCTAATCTCACCGATCCAGTCCACGAAGGCCTCGCCTCCAAAGATGGAGCTGAAGAATTCAGCTGGATCTGCGAAACCCTCCTGCGGTCTCGCAGAGTCCTTTCCAAACTTATCGTAGGCCGCGCGTAGATCGGAATCGGACAGAACTTGATAGGCCTCACCGATGGCCTGGAACTTTTCGTGGGCGGTAGGATCATTAGGATTCTTATCTGCGATGTGACAGATGTTTAGTTCTCCGAAATGCTATGAAGCGGTAGAAGTGAGGCACAAGAGCGAACCTGGGTGGTGGACAATAGCCATCTTGCGATAAGCCTTCTTGATCTCCAGCTCGGTGGCCGTGGGCTGGACACCCAGGGTGTCGTAATAGGCGGTATCAACGACCATGATGGATACTTTATGGTTGGTGTTTCCAGGTTCCAGGTACGCGATCTAAGGTACAGGTGGTGGGTAGAAAGTATGAATGGTTGAGGTTATGGTAGGGTAGTAGATATCAACTACTGAAAGAAGTATGGGAGGAAGAAAAAAAATGGTTGAAAGCAAGAAAATGGAAATGTTGATGATGGCGTCGGATTGCCTAAATGAACTAAGTCAAGGTGCCTGCCAGCCCACCCTAAGCTTGGCTAGATGACCTTGGCGGAAAATTCCTGGCATTGCATCCAATTCAATGATTAACGTAACGTACGTATGTATTCTACAGCGCCTCTGTATTTACGCAAGCTCCCGTCCATGCCCTGCCCTGCCCTACCAGTGCGCGAGGTAAGAAACTTTCCTTTCAGGCTTCGTGTCCAGCCCAACGTATCTTATGTATAGTACGGTACTCACAGCCTGAGCCAGCACCAGTCTTTTCTTGCCCAGAGAGAGGGGTCTCATAAGGTAGAGGGTCTACGTAATGGTGGGGCTATGCTGGGATAGACGGAACATCCATAAAAGACGTCTGTATCGAGGGAGAAAACGCAGCCGGGCTGCTTAAGAGAGGATAATAAGTATCAACCACTAAAAATTCTATATTCGAGTTCTATAACTTTTATTATAAGCCAGTTCCTATCGCCCTTACCCTTCTGCTCCTATTCATGGGCGCTTCCCATTGCTTGCTTCTCTTGTAACAGTTCTGAACTGCCTTTACAATGCCATGGATTTCCGGATACCCCCGAACTTTCAGAGCATAGTTACTGTCCCTTTGCCATACCCGGTTTGCAACCCTGCGGGCCGTCTAGGCATCCCGCAGGCCCAAGTTCCTTTACATCGTGAGGTTCATTGAGGTTAAGTCTGTCCCGTAACAGAGCCAGCATTCTGTAATTTGTAACAGATGTTATGTTGAGGCCCAAGAGCAGAAGCCAGAGAGATTGCCCAGGTTGACTCGGCCTCCAGTCGTTCCTAGGCTGGACCCTTCCCATTATACAGTCTCTCGATGTCGAGCATTAGCTGCTGAATGGCACTTTGACTGCGATATTAGAAGGGGAAACCCAAAGGAGACGAATCGGCGAAGTGAATTCTAGCCTTGGGTACTTCACTTGAGCGAAAATGTCAGCAGCCATACCTAGGGAAGCTTGGCAAGTGAACCTACTCTTGTTGCACTGAAATAACATACCTTACGTACCTACCAACTTCTCCCACGCTGGTTTCATGATTCGTATGAACTTGAAGGTCATTATGTCCGATTTCTCAGTCATGGATGTTTCCTTTAGGTTTTTGAAAGCTTCGAAAGCCTCTAATACCATGCACTTGCGTGGACATTGTTCTCAGAGTATGGCATGAGCACAATTCAGATCTAGAGCTTCCAAGAGTTATCAACTTCAAAACCAAGCCTTGGAGCGTTCTTATTGTTCCTTCCCCAAAAGGATACAGATCCGGTACACTTTTGTTCGAGATTTCATAGGGAGGCATAATTTCCGTGTTGTGCGGACTGTATCCCATCAATGACCGATATAGTTCCAGTGTATTCGGACAAGAGGGGTTTCCATGACTTGGAGTATTCGGCTTGCAACAATAGCAAGTTTTGGGATACTCTTGGACATGCACCATTTTTATCACCTGAGTAGCTTAGACCAGTGAGCGGCGCATGTCATTGCAAACAGGGTAGTGTAAGGTTCAGCTGACGGCGCCTCAGACCTGGTATACCAGGTTAGGATAATTGCAGAGAGTGAACCGCCAAGGCTAAGGATTTTCCTCTCCTTGGATCATCACATCTCATCCAGGACTGCTTTCAATCTTAGCGGCGTTAGATAAATCCGGCTAGGCGGTCAGGAGGTCCGGATCGTTTACATGCATAAGGGTCCATGGTGATCTTAGATCCAGAACACATTAGACTTGGTAACTATGGACAGGAGTCGAGACCAGCAATTCTGTGATCTAGAAGCAGCTTGCAAAGGTCGTCAAATACAAAGACACTGGCGATCATGAGGCTAGAATCTTGTGTAATGCTGGATAACTACATCCACAGGTTGACAGAAACAATCAGTTATGTTTCACTGTCTCGGATATTGTCTGGGTTCAACCTGGGGTAAGACCAGCTCGCTTGAATGTTTCATCTCATCATTCGGTCTGAACACACACCATCACGGCGTCCGGACCGGCATTTAAGTTGCTGTTCGGGGGCGGTGTTGTAACCGGAGTTCCGGGTGATTGACAGCCTGCGAGATCCGATCAACAGTAACCAGCCTCCGGGTGCAACCCAGTTGTTGCATAAGCGCAGATCAATCAATGAGGCCTGAAATTAATCAATGACTTGCAGTGTGACAAGAGTCTAATCACATTCAGGAACCAAGCCAATCCAGTCATCGAATCCGAATACGACAGTTAATGCATGTAACGCGGCGCTTATGCCCCTATCGGTCGGCAGCACCCACCCTACCAGACGAGAAATTGAGCTCTGTGCATAATTTGTGGATTTATCCGGAGCGGAGGTCAACCAGTCTTATTTTGCTTCTCACATCTGTCCTCTCTCTCGCCTTTCCTCTCTCCAAGCATCTCGTGGTGAAAACATACACCAAAGACGTTTCCGGGCCTGGTCGCAACTTAATTGATATATACCATTTGCCTCCTCCCGTTCCCCTGACCTTGTACGGCTGTATCAAGACGTGCACTGCTCAGTTCAAGCTCTCGCGCGGTTCACTTCTACTTCTACCTTCTTCTTCCCCCTCACGCTACCACCGCCAAGATGGGTTACCTCTACTATCTCTTCCACCCTTACCAGCTTCGATCGATCATTCAATGGTAAGTTGAGATCCTCCCGGCCCTCGCACCAGACAAACCTGTCTAACTATTCTCCAGGAAGGTCTGGCATGATCCCGTCCACCAGCGCGATCCCAGCACAGAGTCCCCAGAGCTAAAAGAATGCTTTCGCTACCTCGATATGACAAGTCGCAGCTTCGCTGCTGTCATTCAAGAGCTTAACCACGAACTCCTCGTCCCCATCACTCTCTTCTACCTCTGCCTCCGTGGCCTAGACACCATTGAGGATGACATGACCATCCCCCTGGATAAGAAGGTTCCCCTCCTTCGAAACTTTCACATCACTATGGAAGAAGATGGTTGGCAGTTCCATGAGAGCCAAGAGAAGGACAAGGAGCTGCTGGAGCACTTCGATGTGGTCGTCACAGAGCTCAAGAAGATCAAGGCCCCTTATTACCAAATCATCCAAGAAATGACTCGCAAGATGGGCAATGGCATGGCTGACTATGCCCAAAACGAGGAGATGATCAAGAACGGTGTGCAGACTATTGAAGAGTACGAGCTGTACTGCCATTACGTCGCTGGTCTCGTTGGCGAAGGCCTAACGCGTCTGTTCGTTGAGTCAGAGCTAGCTAACCCCAAGCTTGCTGAGCGTCCTTCTCTCACCGAGTCAATGGCGCAATTCCTCCAGAAGACCAATATCATTCGAGATATCCATGAAGATTGGCAAGATGGCCGAAGATGGTATCCCAAGGAGATCTGGAGCCAGCACGTCGACAAGTGGGAGGACATGTTCGACCCCAGCCAGCAAACAAAAGCCCTCGAGTGTGTTTCAGCGATGGTTCTCGATGCGCTGAAGCACAGTGAGGAGTGTTTGTTCTACATGGCGGGCATCAAGGACCAGAGTGTTTTCAACTTTGTTGCTATTCCTCAAGGCATGGCCATTGCGACATTGGAGCTTGTCTTCCGCAACCCTGAGGTCCTCAAGAGGAACGTCAAGATCACAAAGGGCGATGCCTGCAAGATCATGTTCGAGTGCACACAAAACCTCTACACAGTATGTGAAGTCTTCAAGCGATATGCCCGGCAAATCGCCAAGAAGAACGACCCTCGTGACCCCAACTTCCTTGCCATCAGTGCTCAATGTGCAAAGGTATGCCTTCCTCTTTAACATCTCTGATATTCGTCCGCTAATAAATTCCAGATTGAGCAATTCATTGAGACTCTCTTCCCCAAGCAGGACCCAAAGAAGCTCTCTGTGACTCAGGCCCAGGTCCAAAACAAGGAGCCAACTATGGACGGAGGCGAGACTCTTGTTCTCTTCGGTGTTGTCATTGCAGCTCTGGTCTGCATTTCTGGTCTCATGGTACGCCAGCCCCATACTTTCAAGGTTGTACTCAACTAATACCCGATCCACAGATCGGTACCGCTTGGATTTTCGGAGCCAGATTCGATACTATCTTTAGGGAAGCCAGTGTCTTCCTACCAGGTGGCGAGAAGGCTACTCCCATGATCACGGGTCACGAAGAATTGTAATATCATGCGCGCCGATTTGTTTTGCTTTGTTCAGGGCACGAACCATTTTAACGATATCCTAACGTACATACCACATTTAGCAACGGTCCTCATATGACAGGACCTGCTCAGCGGCATATTGCTGGGCTTATACTCTTGTTAATACTACCTGCAGCGGCGCGATACAGCGCGCGTTGCAGTTCAAGTTTCGTCCCCCATTCACCCACTGGTGATGTTGTCTCTTGTCTTGATGCCCAACTCAACTCCTGCACGGATGTCAAATTGCAATCGAGTCCTTCCATGACTATGATTGTGCCGAAGAAGTGCGAAAATTAAATATCTCTTGCTCTTGGTTTCCGCCTCACGGCGACGTCACGCCACAAGTCTCTCTCGACATATTTGAGGAAGACAGACTGGTGGCGGCGGGCAAACATTTCATTCACCCTTGTAGAAATTCATTCATCTCTGATTCGACCCGTGTTTGGCGATTCTTGCTCCTTTGGGACGTGCTATTACTAGTAAGGCATGAAATGCGTCTGGGCAAGGTTTCACCTTTGATGCTGTTGGTGCGACATGCTGTTGCGCTACCGGCGGGACATGCCCTAGCCGATCTTTCATCGACGGACATGCCCATCATTCAGGGGTTTTGGTTACATCGTCCTGCTCGTTTTGAGCCGTCAAGATGCAGGCTAACAAGATGATGGCAGAAACGCTGGCCTTTGATCTTTAGAAGACACTGGGATAAGTTTAGAATGATAATATGATATATGACCTAGATAATGGTCACTAACTTGGCGGGTTTTTGTATTAGTTGGTTTCGAACTCAATCGTGATATCAAGTCTTCTTATAACCCGAGCAGCATGAGTTGCTTTTTGTATCGCATCAGCTGGCTCTTGCTTTAGTAGCAAGTGGCGCACATCAAACTTGTCACTTTATGCATTGACGAGAAGCAAGAGGTAGTCTAGAAGGTCTATAATGCCGTTACGTACCATCTATAGTAACAAACACGCTCGGTTAGGCTATTTCCAAGCCTCAAAGAAAACTCCTGATACACATGACTTGAGATGATTCATAAATGACACCCTAAATTATATCCCATACATACACGAGGCCTAAATGGTTCAGGTTTGTACAAGTGGCCAATTATCCTGAAATATTTTTGTGGTATAAGAAAAATTCCGCTTTCCCTTGTCCCTGGGTTCCCTGGTTGATGCTGCTGCTGCGTTGCCGCTTCTATTGGTTGCCGTTGTTGGCGATGTTGCTGGTAGTGCCCTGGACGTTGTTCTTGACCTTGGCACCAGTCTGTCCAGCGAGGCTCTTGATGAGGCTGGCGACCTGAGCAGGGCCGTCGAGCTGCTGGAAGCCCATGAGGTAGGCGGCGAGACCGGCAACGTGAGGAGAGGCTATGAAACATGTCAGTTTGAGATTTGACTTGATAGGTGGGGAAGGAGAACATACCCATGCTGGTACCGCTGAGGGTAGCGGTGTCAGTGTTTGACTTGATGCCGACACTGAGGACGTTAACACCGGGAGCGTAGACGTCGACCTCGGGGCCAAAGTTGGAGAAATCAGCACGCTCATCGGTAGTGGCATCAATAGCACCGACAGTAATGGCGTTGGGGGCAGAGCCAGGAGAAGTAAGGGCAGTCTCACGCTATAGACATAGTCAGTTAGGTTACAAATCATATCAGATAGTTGATCACTTACGTTCTCGTTACCGGCAGCAACAACAGGGACAACGCCAGCCTTGAAGAGAGCCTCGATAGCACGGTTGATGGCTTGAGAGAAGTCACCACCAAGAGACATGTTCATAACAGCCTTGCCAACGCGGTTCTTCTTCTTGGCGTCGTCAATAACGAACTGCATGCCCTGGAGGACACCAGAGTTGCTGCCACCGCCTGAGGCATCGAGAACCTTGACGGCAACAAGGTCAACCTTCTTGGCAACACCAAAGGTAGCACCACCGATAGTACCAGCAACGTGGCTGCCGTGACCGTTCTCATCGTCATCCTATATTCAGTTAGCACCATCTCTTTTTAAGTGTTCACGATTCTTTGGTTACTTACAACATTGTTAATGAAGTTGGCTCCGAAAGTGGCACGGCCCTCAAACTCGCTGTGATCAATCTTGATACCAGTGTCGACAACGTAGGCAGTAATGCCCTCGCCAGCAGAGTCGTCGAAGACATAGGTGTCCTGGTTGACCTGGGCGTGAGAGAGACGGTCAAGTCCAGGAGGGGCATTAACTTGAGCAATAGCAGCATTAAGTTGAACTTTCTGGTCGGCCTCGATATATGCAACCTCATCAGAATTGTAAAGATCCTGAACCATGAGATCGTCGGCGTCTAGAGACATGGCACGCCACTTGTTCATGCGGAACGACTGAATTGAAGTAGACATGGCCTCGCCGATTGAGCTTCGCTTGTTGAGATTTCGCTTCTTGATAGCGGCAGCAAAGGAAGCCTCCTTGGCACTGATCGCATCGTCGTCAAAGGTGTCATTGTACACAACGATATATCGGTTAGCGATGATGTTTTGAGCATCGGGGTTCTTGAGCATGGGTCGAAGGAAAGCGCTAATTCCCATCTTCTTGTCCGCTTCATTTCCAAGGCCACCTCCGATACTGTCGGCCATGTCACCCAGGGTCTCGGCAACATCAATAGGAGCAGCGGCAGCAAAGGGAGCTGCAACAAGCAGGGAAGCGAGGAAAGTTCTTAGGAGAGCCATTTTGATAGATTTATCGTTCGTTTTGTGGTTTAATTGTGAAAATATGTTGTTGAAGTGAGAGGTAGTGAAGTGGTTCCAGCCGTTTCACTCAGTTGGCAACTCGATCGTATAAATCGAATGTCGAAAAATAATGAAGGCAAGCTTTGAGTTGGAAACAAAGCAGTAAAAGAGTGCTATTAGAGGAGTTGTGCGATCAACGCTCCTCTCTTGTTGTTGAATAAGGACCGGTCGTGTTAGTTCGCAAGTTCGCGATACACTGTTCAGTATAACAATGAAAGGATGGTGATTAACAAGCTAAATGGGACTGTCTAGCAGCACAAAGGGGGAAAGGAAATCAAGGGAAAGGAAGAATGAGAAAATAACGAAAGAGTCAAAAGAGACGTCTTCCAACAATGAATAACCCGAACAATAGAATGAGAATGGCCGTCCAGCAGCTGACAATGGGTGGGAGATGTAGGTTTAATAGGAGAACACCAAACAATAGAATATCGGCCTCTCACTGGTGGCTTCAGCGGGTTCAGATCAAGCTTCGTTGCTTCAGGAGGGAGCCGCAAGATCCATGGCGGGGATGAGGCGCTAGGGGCCGTGGATCCAGGGCTTCGGCGTCAGGGACAAGGGCCTGGAGGTGTTGTTTAGTTTAGTGTGATGAAGCCTGTACGACTATAGTCGCCAAGTCAAACGCCTGGGCCTCACTCCAAGAACCCCTTGGAACCATCAAGATTTTCTGTTTTCGGTGGGGTTCTCAATGCTCATGCTTGCTCAGCCAGCTCGTTAACTTGAATCACTATAGTCAGCTCTGCCTCAGGAGCTGGGGATGCGAAAATCTGGCACACTCGCGGTGGCATCGAATCGACGACGAAACCATAATTGCTTTGAAGCAGTTATAATAGCGTATGTAACTGTAAGGGCATCTGATCGATTGCCATCACTGATTGGTATATCCAAAATTGGCGTTTGATTACTGTTTCTCGAAAGCAACAATCTTGGCCGCAGTAGCAGCACGTCCCTTGTTCTTTTCCGCAATGCGTTGGGCGAGAAGAACCGTTGCCGTTGCCCACAACCCGCAGGCCCAGTGAAGTACCGCCAATGATATGCAGTAAATGCCGCCTAATCACGGTAAATCAAAGAGCTGGCGCGTCACATGTAGGACAGTAGTTGCACTTATTTAGCTAACGGTCAGTGCTTCGAGTGCTGTTAGTGGCACGATTAGCTCATCACTATCTGTAATCTTGTTGCCTTTAAGCAAGGGGCAGGGAAAATCCGAAAATCCAAAAGCCTCCATCCAGGGCATATGCGAGGATGATCATGGTCGACTCCTGACATCAGCTAACTTAGTCTTTGCATCACATCCCCAGACTGTCAAGTATCTTGAGATGAATCTTGCCGGCCAAGCCAAGACCCAACTAAGGACGATACCCATAAACAATGCACATTGACAATATCACGGCGGTTTTGTTGCTCAGTTGGCAAAGCGTGATAACGCAGTGCGATTGGCGGCCAGTACTGAATCTCAATGTCACATCACCACGGAAGATCCACTCACTGGAAACCAGCCAAGCCCTTCCAAGAATCGGCGCTTGACGACCCCTGGACTACCCCTGTCAATCCCAAGTTTGAAACAAGTGACGCTAGGCTTTGGCGTCTGGACCTGCCAGGCACAAGTCGATTTGGTTGGCTGATGAAGTCTCTTCCCACGCGGCGCCTCATATTCAAACGACGCCGATTCGAAGCGCCGTGTTAACAAACGCCAGATGTCTCTGAATTCGAGGTGATACGTGTGCAAATAGTCTTTGTTTTGTTTTGTCTGTTGTATGTCGGAGAAAAAGTTTGCATTTTGTTCTAGCGTGCGCCCCTTTTGCAAGATCTTCTCCATGGCTCAGTGTCGCAAATATACAGAGCCAAGGGGTTGTTTTGGCAATCCTGAAGGGGCTCTAATGGCCGAGTTCAACGGACGATGAGTATCGTGGGGGGTGCTAACCCCGGGCTGTCGGGGATATAATAGGTAGGGCGCCATGCAGGTCACGGGCTAAGCGTGTCTCGGAGACAACCAGGGAGCAAGGTGGTGTATCGAATTCTGGTGTGGCTCAGCAGGTGAAGGGCAGCGAAATGACCAAAGGGCATGCTTTAGTAGATTTGGGACCGATCAAAGATGTCGACCTTCTCGAACAAGGTAAGCAGCTAAGGATGATTCACCTGATTTGTGTCATCCATATGCATCGTTATGTCTGATTTGGACGACACTGGATAAGACCGGGGTTAGCACGGTTGAAACACAACCAACAAGCGACGACCTCGGTAGAAGTCTTTGGCTGTGGAATCATTGTCTGCGTCTGGGAATAGCTTCTTTTCTTCACATGCTTAAGTGAAATAATTAAGGTAGGTAAGTATGATTCAGAATGCGCTGCCCTTGAAGCAGTTGCTCCCGTCATGACTAATAGCATAAGGGATCACAAAAGGGAAGGAGCGCGCTTACAGAAGAACACTCCCTGCCAAGCGACCTATCAAAGGCTACTTATTTTCTGGGTCTCTCAAAACAACCTCAACTGACAAAATATGTTTACCTCACTTTTTGTTAACACAAAACACAAAGACACACCAAACCCGATGATCGTGTTTTTGAGTCGGGCCTTGACATGTTTTGAGCTGACGAAGTTCTGAAACCCGCAAAATCGCATCTATGGAGTCTAGATCGTGGCGAGACGGACTTGACACACAAGCATCCTTGCCCTATATCATCCATTGTCCACTGGCGGCCCAGTCATTCTGCCGGGAAAACTGCCATGTACGACACTACGGAAAAGCGGCAACTGAGCTATGTGCCGCGGAGAGGCTTTTGCTCAAGTCTGATTGATCTCCATTATCAATTATGGCTTCTTGTCATCTGGACAATGACATGTCATTCCGGCCCAAGCCGGAGATAGACTGTCACGGCTACCTTCCATATTCTACACGCATGAGTATACACCGCCTTCTATGGTTTCATAAGTCATTACCTATTGAGTTGAAACCCCATGTGACTATCTGTTTTATGTTGCCAAGGCTATATCAAATTTCCGAAACCGTATTTTGAGACTTCGAAAATGAAGTCCAAGGCACATCAAGGCTGCTAGATACACATATAGAAGGTCAAAACTGACCCCAGAACTACCAAGACTGATAGTTGAGAAATTATGTCTTACTGGTCGTTGTTAATGCAGCATGCGCAACTGCTAATATTGTTGCAGTCCGCGCTTGATACGAATCCTTATTATCCTTACAACTTAAAGTCTTCCCTAACTCAATCTCCAATTTAACCATAAAAAATACTCCCTTAAGACTTGAATTTATACTTCCAAACATTTCTTTAACCATAAGTGGTTTCAGAAGCAAAGTTTCGTTGTTTAACACACGAAGTTTTAACCATTTTCTACACGAACCCCTTTTCGGGATTAACATGCTTCTAATCATTCTTCAGTGTCTCTCTTTTGTCTGATCGACACAACATCCAATGCAATAGTTAAAAACATGCACGTCATCCGTTACGCCCACTATCCCGATAGCACTTTCGTTACTGGTTTATCCACCAATGGTCCAATGTCATCATGGCTCCATTTGAGGCACCTCTGCACTATTCAGCCTTGCCCTCAGGTATGATTACAAATGAAATCTGGCACATCTTCTGTTCCAACTATCCTTAGATGGTTGAGGTCTCAGAGGTTTTCGGTGTGGAATTATAAAAGGCGAGCTGTCACCGCAGCGTTTGTGCTCCATCTCCAAAGCAGGTAACCCAAATTGACGATATTCGTTCAAGTCTGAAGGAGCAAATTGACCTTTTATTTCATGAACCCGCAGTGAATTATTAGCATTTATCTATATTTTCGATTCAATGACTTATACCAGCTGTTCCCATGACTTGTTGTACTACATAGGTAGTACAAAGTTCTCGGCATCCTTTCACAACAAGTTGCAAAGGATCGATGCGATGTTGGATTAGCCTCAATTTGGCCTTTAGAGGAACCAGATAATATCATTTATGAAATTACAACCCCTTTCTTAGAAATATTTGAGTCTTCAATTCGTATGGTTTTCAATAATTTTTACCGTTCAGGTGTTTTGTTTCTTTCTCTGACTAAGCTAGCTACAATCGTCTGCCTTATGGAAAAGATATCCTATAACCACTAGTAAGGACTCTTAAGCAAATGCTATGATTTACTCATGATATTTCTATTTCACATAATTTCGGGGGGATCTACATTAATATTTCTATCTATTTCAAAACTGGACAAGCCACGATCCAAGAGCCAACTTGAACCCCGAATCTTCTATGACTGAAGTCTTAAACCGGTTTTAGATGCATTTATTAAAATAAATCTTGCGATTTGAGTAGTTTTATTCCTTTTGCTTTCTTTTGCGGAGGTCCAGAGTGTCCTGAAATTCGCAGCGTCGAGACAGAGACCAAGATCAATCTTTCACTAACAAAGTCCGAAGACGAGTTTACAGTTTGCGGCTGTAACGAGAGTCGAACGAGCGGTTCCGTTTATAAGGCTCTCTGTTAGCGAAAATGTTGCCAGTATCATCTAGTTTATCAAACTAGGAACTCCAGGTACATAAGGAAAAAGGAAAAGTATTGCCAACCAAGTGGTAGATCAAGTTTCAAAAGTTATTCGATATACTTTGTCACCTTTCTCTATCTTCGTATCCCATTGAATAGTGTCAGTTACAAGGGGCTATAGTTATTGATCAATGGCCAGATATCTACGATGCTGACATTGCTTGGTGGTATAAGCCATCTGAGGAGTCCAATGAACTTTGATAAATTTGAGAACACAGCTTTTCTACGTATCTATGTTTCTCTGGTGACTCAATCTATACTTTCTTCCAGTGACTCGAGAAACAGTTTTATACCGAGTTCGGCATCGGTCAATAACTTCTGACGCCGAGGAGCGGGGTTAACTTGGTCAACGCCTTCCCATGACTACAGGTTCCACATTGATTCCTCGTCAGCACCAACGGATATAAAC